AAAAAAAAAAAAAAAAAAGATGACGACGACGAAGAGCCCCGCAATAAAGATTAGCAATATCCGCTTTTTGAAAACGCGATTTATTTATAAGTTTGAAAATAAATTCTCTTCAAACGCGACAGAATCAATTAGCCAGTCTGGAGAAATGAAAAACTTTCGTAATCTCATGAGGCCACCCTGTATGCGATCGCTATTTCGCCCCCGAACGGAATTGATATCTCGCGGTGTATATAAGCGATTCAACCTTTACGGTATATTAACTCACTCGTGACTTAAGTAATTCCCGGCACGTGGTAGGAAGTAGAGTTGTTCGCGATGAAGGAGATGCTAACGGTACGATCCTGAGATGGTCATTCGAAATTAACGCCTGAGTGCCTCCATTACCGGAAATCGACGTGTTAACCCGTGTTACTGACCTTCGATGATCAATTAATCGTTCTATAAGCGATTACTCATCGCGATGACTGTTGAAAAAAAGAACTGTCGATTTATCCTTTGATTAGCATAACAATTCGTTGTAAAATATCGCGAATTATTAAATTTTACACAGCTATATACACTAATAAAGGGAAATTTATAGTGATAAACAGCAACAGAGAGAATAAATCCTCTTTCTTTGAAATGAAAAGAAAAGCACAAGAGTATAATTAAAAGAGAAGTTAGGGAAGAAACTTGATTTGTTTATTCCAGGTTAACCCATAAATTTCGACGCTTCATTTAATTGAGATATCTTACTTAAACTCTTCGATGCGATAACTTTTAATCTAATCGCGATATTCTTTGCGAAAACTTTTTAATATAACTTTCAAATTCTTCGAGCAATCGACTTTAATGCAAAAATCGTGACCGTCCCGTAGGATTAAGCGCTCCTGAAGTTTCTTCTTCGCTCCTCTTCGGGTCCGCGGCGATTCTCCTCCAACTCTCTTCGGGATTATCGAACGCAAAAATCGTTATTTAATACCCCCATGTGAGATCCAAGGGAAGATGGTGTATTCTGTCCTCCTCTCGAACACAATATCGTAAATCCACCGTTTAATTGCACCCGCGAGAATCCACTTTTACTATCAGGACCTCACAGATTAACTCTACTCAAGCTAGTTGTTTCGCCTTGCGTTCCCAATCTTCCATACTATGTTCTTTCACATCAATATTTCTCAAGAATCACATCTTGTCCTGTAAGCGAAAGCAAACAGTCGATATTCGCGCTTGAAAGAAAAGACAACTATTACACTTCGCGACCTAAGAATTATAAAAAAATATACACTGGATTTTATATTGGACTATTATTGGCAGTAATATTATATATATATTTTTTTTCTTAGTATGTTTTTATAGTCAAAATTGTATGTGTCTTATCGCTAATTTGTTTAAGCCTTTCATTTGACGTCACTTCGTCAAATAATTCTACAAAGTAACAGATGAAATTTAATATTTGTTTAACATGTATCGAATAAATAATATATATTTTTGAGTCGCGAGTAACACAGTATTTCCGTTCTCCACTCGAAGTTTATCGCAACGAGTTTGCTACTCGCTTTTATATTGCGTAATGCAATGAGATTAAAGGAAGTCGGTAATGCGACTTCTCGCCATCGGCGATACTCCGGATATTCCGGAGTGTAAATCAGGCCAGATTAGAATAGAGAGTTAAGGTATGCCTTCGATAGCGGTTGTACGACAATCGAATCCACGAACCCGCAGCCGCCAAGTCGAGCTGGGGGCCGTCTCGTAAATTACTGAAGGAATCAATATCGATTCTCTCCCCCCTCCCCCCCCCCCGGCCATCAAATGTTCCCGGAGAAGAAGCTTTTATAGAAAGGACTCCACAATTCTGTGAACTGGCTTTTACGAGGAAGATTCGGGGCTAATTACGCTTTAAAGCCCATAAGTGATTGGACTGAAAAATATCAATATTATGATATCCTGATTGATTCTCTAACAACGGAAATAAATAGACATTTATTTAATCTTTGATAAAACGATAGAAAAAGGAAATACGTTGAAATATATCGAGAGCCAAGAGAAAGCACGTAATGTTAAATAAATAAAAATATCTCATGTTGTTTTCAAAATTAATGCAAATCAATGAAAATTGGAGCAGCAAAACAAAGCATTTAAATGTCTCTTTTATTTCTTTCTTTAAATATTCATATTTAATATGTTTTTTACGTTTTTACATAAGAAAAAATGCATGAGAATAATCGGATATCAAGCCGTGAAATATGAAGAGGTTGCAGTGTGGCATTGCAAGATATTTAAAATAATTAAATGCTGGTGCGTGTCATTAAAATGAACAGATTTGTCTTCATGATCGTGCATGGACTTATGTCGCGTCATTTTACGAAGCTCTCTCTCTCTCTCTTTCTCTTTCTGTCTCTCTCATCGTTCACTTTGCATATAATATTAATATGCATACAGAGAATAATGCGTCCGGTATTAAAGCGTGCTCGTGAATGATTACGAGCGTCATTTCGCGAAGAATTCGTTTCATCGTTATGAGCATTATTTAAGAGTTACCTATCCAATTAGATCGTTCTGATGTATTTAATGAGACACGTGATGCCGATACATCAATCCACAGGACGTTTCAAAATGCAATGCACATGAAAAGAACGGTTTTGCTAAAGTATTTAAAAATTTGCGAACATTCTTGATCTTCCAGCAACCAATTTGAACGTTCTGTGTAATTATTTTGATGGCCCAATAAAATTATTTTCAAATCTGTATCTGTCAAAAATTTTTAGATATTTCAGCAAAATTGTCCTTTCCATGTAAATATTTTATATGTATTGATGAAATGACAGTAAAAATTTCATTAAACGCTGAAGCTAGAAATTAATTAATTAATAACAATATTGGATTTTTTTTGAAAAAATGAATCTTGAATGTAAATACATAAAATAAGATATTCCGTAACGATGTTCATATTGAACAGTTTCCGTGTAAGAAAATAATTTATATAAAACATTCACATTGATTGCTAGAATATTAAAAATATTTGCAATACTGTCATGCTCAAACATTTTACATAAATAATTATTTTGATAATTTAATAAAATTATTTTGATTTATATTCTGAAAATTTATTCAATTTTCAGATTATTTATCAGGTATATAGATACTTCAGCAAAATTATATTTTCCATTTGTATGTCTTGTTATTTTAAATTCCGCTTTATTGTTATATTAAACATAACAAATAATTGACGCTATTATAATAAATAAAATTGAATAAATATTAAGTAACTTTAACCAACAATCGATTTTATCACCTCTCATTTATTGATTATTATATATTCTTATCAATGAGATATACGTATGCATTTATGTAGGTTGCTGAAACTGTCTGTAGGAGGACACATTACTTTAGCCACGTGGAAAAATAGAAAACCCACGCGCGCTTACTTGTCATGCATGCATATGTGCATAGTTATGCATTTTTACGCGGTCAGTACGCGGAGACTCAATATATCTGTGAAAAATCGGGCGGAGTGACACGCGCGGAGGAACACACGTTCCCGAGATTCTCATTCGAGATAGGATTGGGTGTCTTGGCAATCTCTCTACAGCGTGCAGCCGTATTATAGGCCTGCGAGAGAGGCTGCTCGCGATTTCTGCTCCGCCTCGGGCGGAGGACGGCAAGCGCGCTTCCGAGGCGAATGCGCTCGGCTCCACTCGCGGGACGCATCGCGTCGCACGAGCACGATTAATTAAGCGACAAGGTGTCCCGCGTGTAACGGACGATGTGTGGGGTGGGGCTTCAGTGGTTACTCGCTCGCGAATTCAATTACTCGATGATTTATCTACCGATAGCCAGTCGAGGCCAATCGGCGAAATCATCATATCGCTACGCGATATATATACAAACCTCGAG